CGGCTCAGGGGCAAACTCAGTAGCAGCTAACGCCCCCCAAGGTGCTCTAAAAGATGAATCAAACTCACAAAGGGGTAGGTGGCTGGGTAAGCAGATGGATGGGACAGAGGGCGCGGGCATAAGCAATTGGTGGAAGCGCTGGGCAGAGCGGACACCCAGCATGTCACCAGCACGCACGTTTTGCTTGCAGGAGGGCCGGCCGTGCTGAGGATGAGGGTAGAGCGGCTGCGTGAAGTCTCCCAGCAGCTCTCGAAGCACCTGCGCCACGTGGTGCATCTTCGGGTCGTTCTTCTTGCCGTTGCAGCCCACGAACTCGTTGTCTTCGGCCAGCACCTTCTGGAGTTTGTCGTGGAACAGGCTGGAGGGCTCCAGGTTCTTGTACAGGTACAGCAGGGTCTCCGCGGTGACAAACTCCTTCAGCCGCAGCCCGTTCTCCAGGAAGAGCCTCACAAATCCGGGCTTGTTGGAGATGAGGGCGGCGGTCATCATGGGGTGCAGAGCCGAGGGCTGAAAGAGGGCACCATGGGAGGGGCTGCATGCACCCATTACGGCCCCTGTTTCCTTAAAGACCCAGGAGAGGGCGGGGAGTGGGGGTGACAGGGAAGTCCGTTTTACCGCGGATGTACCGCGGATGTGACGCTTAGCCAGGTCATCCGGGATTGAAGGAGGGAGGCTGGCACCTACAGGTGGGTGCCCCTCAGGCCGCCCTGGGAGCCTTACCTTCCACTGACACTGATCAGCAAAGATCTCACTCCGTGCAATGTCCACGCGGTTCCACGCAACCGCCAGCTTCAGCTGGTGGTCCCAGTTCTTGTGGCCAAAGTGGTCGTGGTTCCGAGAGGCTGCAGACAAAAACAGGGAGACTCCACCCGCGGTCTTAGAGCTATTTCCTCCAGCACCTGCTGCTTGGCAGACCCGGAGAGCTAGGCAGCTGCCGCCAGCATCATCCTCCCAATAATTTCAAGGGGAGAAAAGCAGTATCCGGTTGCAAAAAAAGATCGTCCCTGAGACAGTTTATTGTGCCAACCTGGCTGATAAACGCAGGTGGGATTGACTGAGGGGCGGAGAGATGGATGGCTTGGTGAGCCTTGCCTTTCTTGTCTCTCGCTCTGTGATCATCGGACCAGTGTGCGGCTGCCTTGCTTGTCCTGTGCCTCAATTTAAAGGCTACACAGCCTGTGGGACGCCTAGCCTGTGGACTGTGTTGCTGTAAGTTGAGGTCCCTTTAAGACTTCTCTGGAGCTGGGGACTGGCGGTTGGTGACCTGCCTTGTGATTGGCTGCTGTACTGACATAACCTAACTCTCTCTACAAATAGAGGAAGATCTGGCATCAGATAGAGACTTGAAGGACTGCTAGTCTCTCAACTTTCTCTCATGGACGTGAGTTGCACTAAGCCATTTATAGTGCTTCTAATTTAACTGTTTATTTCTTGTATTGTATATTTATCTGTATATGATTTAACATTTCATTTTTGGTTATATATTAATTATCTTTATAAATAAATATATTATATTATCAGGAATTTGGTTTTATCTCTCTAGAGAACCCTGTCTAACACAGTCCCTGTTGCAAAAGTTTTTTAAAAATGCTTTTCATGTCGGTGTGAAACCATAATTAGAGATTTTGGGGGTTTGCATCATCCCTTCGGCTCACCCCTGATCCTTACCTGGCCCCTGCCTCCCAGCAGTGCCCACCGACCCTAAAGGACCGACCCGTGGGCAGTGGGTTGGGAGGAGAGCCTGCATTTCAGTAGATTCTGAGCATTTGGGAAGGCATTTTTCATTGACATTCAAAATTACAATGATGTCCGCTTCCTCTCTGAGTTCGATTGCCAGGAAGCCTCAATCACCACCTCACCTGGGGTCTCAACACAAGACCCTTCCCACGTAGTCTCTGCTCGCTCTTTCTAGTTTAACATTTTAAAGTGTGGGCTATTATTTCAAGAAGGGGGGTGGAGAGAAGAAGGAGAAAGAAATATAAGAAGAATATCCACCCCTACCTCACGCCACACACAAATTTAAAGGAGAAGATACCAGGAGATTTTGGGGGGGTGGGGTTGTGGGGGAGGGAATCCCATTTCTTTTCATTCCATTTTTCCATGAACTTTTTGAAACTCTTTATAGATCTAAATGCAAAAGCTGTTTCTATAAACTGTCTACAATAAAACACAGAAGAAAACATTTGCAACCTTGCCGTCAGCAACAATTTCTTAGTTAGGACATAAGAAATAGGAGCCGGAGAAAAAGAAGAAATGAATTCATTAAAATTAAAAACAATGCTCCTCACAAGACACCTGTAGGAAATACAAAGGTGCAGAGACCCCGGTGTTTCCAGAGTGGGTTTCTGGTCTCCCACGCAGGAAGCCAGGCTTCATCCCCAGCTATGGCGTCTCAGGCTAAGCCACCTGTCTGTCTTTAGAGGCGTGTTCGTCGCTGTGATGCTCAATAGAGTTCGAGGGAGCGTCCACTCTCAGACACACTAGGAAGAAAGGTCTGAAACCCACTTCCAAAGCCCAGCCTAAGAAATCCTGTACCTCACAGAGCTCCTGTGAGCTGCAATGGTCAGGGCAGTGGCACGGGGCGGGGCGGTATTTTGTTCCACGGTGCTTGCAGCTAGCAACAACGAGAAATTATTTCAGCCAAGACAATAAGCTGGAGCACGGCTGTGTTCCCCTAGCATCAGGAAAGGGGCACCTACTGCCCACTAGGAGGGGAGATGGGCCCTAGCCTCTTCCTTTGTTAGGAGTGGAAAGACTGAAGGGCCTGTTTTGTCTCCCAAAGTTTCCCATTGCCTCCGGACTCGGCCTGAGCCCCTGCCCCTTCCCCACCTGTCCCTCTTCCACCTTCCTCCTAGAGGAGGGCCTGGGCTCTTCCCTGTGATCCCCCATACCCTTTTCCTGTGCCTACCCTTCAGCAGAGCCTGTAGGATAGCCACGTCCACATCCTGCTGGCCATCCTTGCCCTCCCGGAAGATGGTCAGCAGCTGCCTCCTCCGGACGATGTCTTGGATCTGGAATCAAACAAGGCCATGTGAGATGTGCGACAGCAGTGAGCACCCTGCTTCCTCCTGGGTGCGACACAGAGGACCCCGAGGCAGGGGACATGAAGCTGGTGCTCTGTCTGCTCCAAACAGGAGTCTACCCCTACCTCCCGAACCGAGATGGAGAAGAGGGAAAAGAACCAAGATGGATGTAAATATGGAACACACACACCCCCGCCCCCCGTGCCTGAGTGGCTTGTCATTGGAAGCCAGACACACGATCTTCACTTGGCGGCAATTCAATACAGAATGCCCAGATGGCGCCTCTTTGGGCCTCTCTCGACCCAGACTGCTTCTCACTCACATGCCTGTCTACCTACCTCCCTAACCAACCTCTATGCCTGTCTACCTGCCTACCCAACGCAAGGCTTTACCTGCCTCTCTTCCTCTTCCTACTGACCTACTCCCCTACCTGCCTATCTACCCTGCACAGTCCCCTCTTCCAGCAACTGAAGTCGTTGTCTGACTGATCTAAATTGGAGTGAGAATCCAGGGAAAGGTGGAGGAGCCTGGTAGTGTAATAGGTTACTTGTAGAGCTGCTAACCACTAGCTCATCAGTTTGAAACCACCAGCTGCTCCCTGGGAGAAAGATGAGGCTTTCTACGCACTGAAAGAGTTCCAGCCTCAGAAACCCAAAAGGGCAGTTCTGTAGGGTCCTATAGGGTCACTATGAGTAGTCAGGCTAGTCTAAAGTATCTACCCATCTCTGTCATTCCCATCGGCCTGCCCTTATCTATCAGTCTATTTACTATTCACCCACTTCCCTTTGTCATCAAGCGGCCACCCATTCATCCACTACCTATCTATCCAACCCGTCAGTCCGTCTGTCTATTGCCTATCATCTAGCTGTCCTGATGTCTCCTCACTGCTCTACTTGCTACTAGCCATTCCTCCTTGAAACACCCTCCCTTGGGGTGGGGCTGGGGGGATCTCAGGGTTGGCATGCCACATAGACATTGGATCACACATTCCCCTCCTAAAAATAACCTGGGGGACCCCCTGACCACCGCTTCCCAAATAACGCCTAGACTCCTCCCCCTGGTTCTCCAGCCTCGTCTCCCCAGCCCTGGGCGCGCACACTTGTCCCTCCGTCCTGCCGGACCTTCCTGCCCACGTCCCTGCACAGATCAGGCCCCAAACCTAGAGGAGGCCTTCACACGGCTGACCTCTATTCCAGTTCTTCAAGGTCTCATCTCATATCAATTCCAAAGTACTTCCCAAACTCCGCCCCGGCCGCTACTCCTCCCCCCACCTTTACCTAGTTCACCACCCTACCCTACCTCCTGAGTTGGACCCAGCACTTGTCTTATACGATGACTAAACTCCAAGCCAAACGCACGGCCAAGGGATCAATTGCAACAAATCCCGGCCCGATAGGACAGCTGTGGGTTTCTGAGACCGCAACTCTTTATGGAAGTGAAAAGCCCCATCTTCCTCCTGCAGGGCAGCCAGTGGTTTCAAACTAACCCTGTGCCACCACGGCGCCATGGTAACTAAAGACGCAGCCGGCTCCCGGACTTGGTATGAAGTGTTCGCACAGTGGCCTCTGACTTTCAGGGCTGATGACTTAGAGAGAGAAGAGCAGAGAGCTTGAAGAGGCTGACAACTCTGCCCCAGGGCCACCTGGCTCCAGAGTGTTGGCTGTGAGCGCCAGCCATGAGACCATTCAGGGCCAATGCCAGACTGCCAAAGGCACCGTCCAAACACCACGGACCCTTCCGGCTCATCCCTGCCCCTGAGGCATGAGATGCAGCCCCAGGCTCTAAGGAGGGCTGCTGACTGAATCGATTGGTGATGCCTGCAGCCAGAGTCCCTCCCACATAACGGTAACAGCAGTGCTTAGTGACAGTCCCTCCTAAGGCACGAGACAGACAGGAACCACTATTTCCAGGCTCTTTAAAGCATATGTTTTATTGTCAGGTTTTTAAAAAGGGGGGGGCTACACACACATTCCCAATGGTTTCAAGGAAGAGCAGACGCCCTGGCATCCAAAGCTGAGCTGGCCCTGGGCTGGACCTCAGTGTGTTTACAAACCGAGCTGGCCATCATGCATAGGTCATCCTGTCCTCCTGCTGGACACAAGCAGCTCAGAGAACATCTGTACCTCATACGGTCACTCAGAGGCCTTGACAAGACCCAGATTGAACACAGGGTCCCTGGGCCCCAGAAACCCTCCACCACAAGCCTTGCTCCCCGACACTCTCCCTCTGTCACTGAAGCAAAGCCTCGGGCCTACACCAGGCTCTTTCCTTCACGTGCCTTCACCTGTCTGACTACCCTGAGGCTGGGTAGTCTCCCTCCTTCAGGGAGTGGATCCTAACTCCAGCTGGCTCACCCACGCTGCCCTTCTGCACATGGACACAGAGCCCGCAAGCCGCAACCTCAAAGGAAGCCAGGCTGAACTCACGCTGCTCCGCAGACTTACCCTGAACGGCACGCAGGGGTCAGTTAAAACCGCGTGTGAGCATTTCCAGGTCGTTTGGCAACCCTTGTTTACCTCCCAGGAGCTGCAGGAAGCACGCGGAAACCGAACGCTCCGCACCCCAGCTGATGACCGGGGAAGCCGAGGTCAGAGACGGATCGATCCACCCTCAAAGAAGCTCCCAGGAAGCAGAGACCCGGTCCATCTGCTGATTGGTCTATCCGTCTATGTTACCGATCTTCCAAGAGCCTATTTATCTGCTGTCTACCTAATATCTCGGGGTTTGAGGGTAGGGAGGAAGGGTATCTGACACGTTACAGAGATGGCATGGGGTACACCTCCTGCACAAGGTCTCTTTAACGTGTTGAAAGCAAAAATGTTACTTTGAGACCAGTCAAGTGACTCGGTGTTTACTCAAGAGCCTCACCCAAGGCATGGTATGTTCAGTCACCCCACATACACGCGAGCGTTGATCACTGAATAAGGGAGAATCGATGGTGGTGCGGTGAGGAAGACTAAAAGTACCCCAGGCTGCCAAGGGAACAAACGAAGTGCGTCTCGGAAGACGGGTGGCCAGAATGCTCCTTAGGAGCAAGGATGGTCAGCCTTCGTCTCACCGATGTTGGACCTGTTGCCAGGACAGACCAGAGTCTGGAGGACTGCCCTGCACAAGATGGACTGACGCAGCGCCTGCAACAATGGGCTTGAATGTAAGAACAATGGGAGGATGGCCCAGGGCCAGACAGCGTTCTGTTCTGTCCATGGGGTCACTGTGGGCTGGAACCAACTCAAATGCACCTAACAACAGCAACAACCCCTGACATCTACCACCTCTCGATCACGTATCTATCTCTCATCCATCTATCTCTATCTATCATCTATCTATAGCTTAAGGATCCCTGAGTGGCAGCAAACAGTTTGAGCTCAACAACCAGCCTAAGGACTGGCAGCTGGAAGCCATCCATGAGACCCTGGACAAAAGTCCAGGTGACCTGATTCCGTTAAAATGACAGCCAAGAACACACCGGGGCACAGCTCCACTCTGGACAGAAAAGGACGCCAGGAGTCAGAATTGACCCAGTGGCGCGAGGCTTGGTTTTTGACATCTGCTTCTTATCTCCACCTCAGGCAGGGTCGCTGGGAGTCAGAATCAACTCTTGGCAGGGAGTGAGTCGAGACGGCATAGCTATCGAACTCTATACATTATTATCTATATCTTCCCAGAGGAATCTTCCCTGTCTTTTACTATTATCTACATGTAGCTGTATCTTATCTAGGCACATCTTATCTCTTTGGGCATGGGTGGCCTTAGCCTGGGTGCATTCAGTGCTACAGTTTGGAGTTCACCCAGAGACAGCAGGCTCACTGGGAACACAGGTGTTAGCTGGTGCCAGGTGAGGAGGGGAGCTCCCACAGCTTTACCATGACTGAGCAAGGTTCAGGGACCCAGCCACACACTGCCTCACTCGTCCCCTTTTGTGGCTGGAGTCCTGGTAGGGGGGCACGGCTCCTCTGCAAATCTTATCCAGCCCCCTCCCTGGAACCCAAGTGCGGAGTAAGATCGGGGCTGCTCTGAGAGGGTGGGCCCTCGGTGTCCCAGGTTTTCTGAGAGAAGCTTCTTCATCTCCCACCGCCTCTGCTACCCCACAGCGTGCCTGTCAGGGTCCTTCGCACACCCTCACCCTTCTTTAAGGTGGGGCTTAGTGTTTTGGAGAGTGCCCCACCCCACCTGGCGAACAAAGCAGCCCACTCTCATCTCTCTTCCAGAGCAAGGCTTCCAAGCATCACGGGGACCTGGAGGCCACCGTGTCCACAAGACGGTCGGACACACCAAAGAGACACATGCCACACACAGCCAGCCATCAGCTCCTGAGCCCAGTGGACCACCTCCTCATGCCTCCTGCCCTCTGCACATCATGCCCATGTCACCCCAGCCCCACTGGGGGCACTTGGGCCCCTGGGGCAGCATGGTCCGGTGCTGTTCACCACACATCTAGTGACTGGCATGCCGTCTGTCTTACCTTTTTGGTCCACTCCACGATCCTGCTGTCGGTGAAGGTCTCCATTTCCTGGAAGAACATGCTCAGTTTCTTCTGGATCAGGGAGATGGTGATCTCGGAGATGGGCAGGTTGGCCACCTGAGCAATAACGTCTGCCACACGGCCTGAGCCCGCCACAATCACGCAGGGTGTGTTTTTGGTGATGGCGTTGTAGATGGTCTGCAGCATGGGGAGGAAGAGCCATGGGCCGTGTTGCTATTTGTATGGTTGTTGTTAAGAATTAGAATTGAAACTGCAAACTCGCCACCATCCAGGAGTCTGTTCTGACTCATCAAAGCCCTGTGGAACAACAGGGTAGAGCCACCCCCAATGGGTTTCCCAGGCTGTAAATCTTTACAAGAGTGGAAAGCCGAGCCACTGGTGGAGTCAAACAGCTGACCTTGCGGTTAGCAGCCCAGTGCATAACCCACCATGCCGCCTGGGCTCTTTGTGTTAGCATGTGTTTTTGAAATCCATGTGCAACATGGATTGTAAAAGGATAGCACCATAGGCTTAGAATAGGTTGTCTCACATTATATTCTCAACCTGAATTACATACAGTGTGTATGATTTAAGAATACCCCTCTGTAAATGGTAAACCACACCAGAGATTCCCGAGGCTCACAAAATAGTCTTGGAAATATGTGGCTATTTGAAACATAAGGGCATGTGCCAGGAATAGTGTTGTGGGTTGAATTGTGACCCCCATAAAAGATATGTGGGACTCTCAACCCCTGGTACCTGTCTACTTGGCCTTGTTGGGGAACAGGGCCTTTGAAGGTGTTATCAGGTAAGATGAGTTCCTATAGGACTTGGGTGAGTTCTAACCCTACATGACTGAAAACAGAAAAACGTGTGTGGTAGTTACATAATCTGGTGTCAGTTTGAGAGACTTAAGAGTGAAGGAGTGGAGTTTAGGCTGTCTCAGCTTGATGACCTCATTTGGAGGCACTAAAGCAATAAAGAGCTCGCTGGAGGTGGGGCACATGCTGACTCCCTGTGAGCTACACTGGAGCTCTGGAGCCGGAGGAGCCACATGGGAGCCCTGCCTCTACCGCCCCTGATCCACAAGACCTTCCACCCACTGGCCTGCGAGCTTTCTGCATTCAGTGCCATTGCTTGTGTTTTGTGAGACTGAAGAGGACATTATAGATCGGTACTGAACATATGGGCTAATATCGGACTTATAGACTTGATCTGGACTGGACTGGGATGTTTTCTCAATATTCAATTGCTCTTGTATATAAAGCTCTTTGTTATACACATATGAGTGTCTCTATGAATTTCTTTCTTTCTTCTACCCAGACTAACACAACGTGTAACCCACTAAAAGGGAAGAGAGACACAGATACAGAAGGAAGATGGCCGTGAGATGGTGCACACACCCACTAGCAGCTCCGCAGTAAAGACCTGAGGGTCTGCTTCTTAACATTCAACAAACCAAAAACTCACCGCCACTGGTAGATGTTGACCATGGTGACCGTACAGGACAGAATAGAACTGCCCCTATGGATTTCCAAGGCTTTAAATATTTAGGGGAGCAGAAAGCCCTATGTTTCTCCTATGGAGCAGCTGGTAGGTTTGAGCTGCTGACCCAGCAATTAGCAGCCCAACACAGAACCCATTATGTCATCAGTTCTATACTATCCCATAAGGGCCACTGTGAGTCAGAATTGAATCGGTTGCCTGCACATACCTGTTTAATCTTGGTGGGGAATGGGAGTTTCTTTACCATGCTACGATATCACTGTACATATAGGGCGTGTTGTCAACCTAATCAGTGCTGACTTGTGGGGAGCAGCACAGAAACAGGGACAAGATACAACCCGGAGAAGACAGAGGCCACTGGAAGACCTCCCACGGACCGAGGGATGCTTGAAACAAGGATCTTCCCCCAGAACCAACAGAGCGGGAGCCTTCTCCGATGGCTGTGCCCTCAGTTCAGACTTCGAGCCTCCTGAACTCTGTGTGTGTGTTGGGGGTGGGTTGGGGAGAGTTTTCTTAAAGTCGCCCACTCATAGCATTTCTGTTACAGCAGTACTAGAAAACCAAGACAGTCCATTCGTAACGTGTTGAAATCCCTAGAGGAATTTAAGGACAGCTGCTAGTTCCACAGATCTGGTGGCAGGGTGAGGGAGGAGTCCCAAAGATCTGCACTTTGAAAACATTCCTAAGGGTGTCTGGAGAGTGAACTTGTAGAAATAATCACACCGGCTGCCCCCAGGGGGGCCTGGAAGCCAAGGGCCACCAACTCCATCCTCGCTCCAGTGCCCTGTGGGACCCATCTGGAGGACACCTCTACCATCTGCCCCAGGCAATTCCCCGGGACCAAGTTCACCCATCCCAACCCTGGTGGCATCCAGCAAGTTCTCTGCTCACCCCAACAAGAAATGGCCCCTTTATCACAGGCTGGGCCCTCACTTCCTCCATCTCAGGATAGATAGCCCATTGCCACCTCCTGCCCAAACTTTCAGTGAGCAGGTGAGCAGGTGCATTCTGGGTTCCTTGTACCCATCAGCCATCTGCAGCAGGACCCAACACAAGCAGTCCCCACCCAGTTCAGCCATTACTTACATTCAGCGTGCCAGGACCACCCTCCAGCACCACGCAGACAATGGGGATCTTAATGTCCACCCCTAGGAAAAACCATAGCGCCCCAAGTTAGGAGTTGTAGGGTACATTGCTCCCCAACCCCCTCCAGCTAAGTGTCAGCCAAGAAGCCTGCCCTGACTTCCCTCCCACTGGTCAAAGGGCAGAAGCAGTGGTGGGATTCAGCCAGTTCACATCAGTGCGGCAAAAGCGATACCCAATTTTTTGTTGGGTTCAGTGAACTGGTTGTTAAAATGGCATTGGTAATCAGGATTATCTCTAAGCTGGGCAGTCTGGGCAGGCACTCAGTGTGGAACTCACAAATTTACATTCCTTACTCTTATTTTAAAACATTCATCTGCCCAACAGCATAGTCTAAGTGCCTGTAGTGATGTTCATTCCGACCATAGTTATTAAAAAATTAGAACTAGGTTTGCAATTGTCTATTTATTCATTTCATAAAACTCACCACATTTTTAATGAAACACTACATTTTTGTGCCTTGCATTTGTTACTCCCATAAACAAACACAGACCATCAAGAGGAAAAGTCTCAAACGACCAGAGGGTGGCGCTCTGCCATTCATTTCATCTTTGTGTCATGCCTCAAATTCCCCTGAGAGAGTAGGAGTGAATTGTGCAATTCCTGAAAGTGTTCAAAGAGCCAAAAATATTGTCAGAACACTTGTACGGTGAACATAGTATGCCGAGAAGCGAAGCGGCCTGTTTCTAATCTAGCAAACACAGTACTACAACTGTTGTCTAATGGACCCACCTCGAAAAGAATGGGAGCCCACTTCTACAGTGAAAAGATGGCTACAGATAAATCACACAGCCGATGATGCTCAGATCAAAAGAAAAGCATGTTGCAGATGAAGGCGTCGATCAAGAAGCAATGTGGAAATATCTTAAATAACAGTGTTTTTTTTGCCAGGTATTATTTAATACGTTTCATTAATATTTTTAAACTCTTTCTTATAATGTGGTTCTGTGTACCTCTTTTATTGTTCTTATTTATGTATTACCTGTATGAAACAATAAACTTCCTCTTGGGGTACTTTTTTTTAATACTTAGCTCAATCATTGGGACAGCGAATTGGTGGTTAAATTAGTTGAGTCCCATCACTGCCACCCACCCTTTCTCCCTTTCTCTCCCCACAGAGAAATTCTTTCGTGATAAGGTTGTCCTGGCCCATCTTCACGTCATCCAGTGGATTTTCCCTCTGACCGTCCCTATGTAGCAAGACAGTGGGACACTCACACCCTGCCTCCACGGCGCCCGCCGAGTGCCCGGCAGTCCACGCCACTCACCTCCCTTTTCGTTCGTCTGCTCCGAAGTGAACTTCTCCAGCCTCGTCCTCAGGGGACGCTCCGAAATGAACTTCTCCAGCCTCGTCCTCAGGGGAATCTCCACCCCATACTGGCCATGGGTCCCATCATCCACCAGGATGAAGTGGGAATGGTTGCTGTCCAGGCAGGTGAGGCTCCCCTGGCCCTCCTCGTCCAGGAAGTACTCGGCAGGGAAGCAACCCTGGGCGACCAGAGAAGAGTCAGGCTGACATGGGAACATGTGGCTAGCACAGGGGTGTGTGTGTGTGTGTGTGTGTGTGTGTGTGTGTGTGTGTGTAAATATATCTATTTCAAACCTCTGCCAAACAACTGTATAGAGTGTATGAAAGTTATTTTAGCTCCTTAACTGTACATTTCTGTGCCTAGATTGGATGCGTATGCTCTAAGAAGTTGTCGTAATAAGTAACACTCAATTGGTCAAAGAGAGAGAAAGTACCGTGGCTTTGACACGGGAATGGGGCTCTAACCTGAAAACAAGAACGTTGCCCTTATGTCAGTTTCTGCCTCGTGTTGGCTCCGTGCGTGTCCGAGAGAACTGTGTCCCACGGACTTTTACTGGCAGAAGCAGATCACCAGACCTTTCTTTGAAGGTGCGTCTGTCTGGGTGGACTTGAACGTCCATCCTTCCAGTTAGCAATTGAGCGTGGGAAACGTTTGTGCCACCCAGGGATTCCTATGGGGGTTCTTCCAGGCTGAAAAATGGCCCTTCGTTGTTTGTGTACAAATCCTAGTCCCTGGACCTTATTTGGAAAAAAAATAGATATTTGTAGGTGGAGTTAGGAGCTCGAGACAGGGAGATTGTCTAGCTGGTTAGCCCATTGCTAGAATCAAGTAGATGTTGGCTGAAAGCAGAAAATGCCAGACAGACATTTATTTGTGTCTTGCTGACTCTGCATAGGCGTTGGACTTCGTGGAGCATACAAAACTATGGGTAACCTTGAGAGGAATGGGAATTCCAGAACACCCTGTTGTGCTCACGTGGAACTTCTACAAATAGAACAAGGGAATATTGCATGTTAAAAATCGGGAAAAGTGTGTGTCAAGATTATATCCTCCGTGGGTATTCAATCTGTATGCTGAGCAAATACTCAGAGAAGCTTCACATGTGGTGCTTCATAGTGAAGAAGAATGCAACACCAGGAGTGGAGGAAGGCCGATGAACAGCCTGCGATACGCATCAGATGGCATAACTTTGCTGAAAGTGGGGACTTGAAGAAGAAGCCCTTGCTGAAGAAGATCAAGAATCGCAGCCTTCGGTGTGCATTGCAACTGATGTACAGGAAACAAAAATCCTCACAACCAGACTATAGGTAACATTGTGAAAAATGGAGAAACGGTTGAAGTTGTCAAGGATTTCATCTTGTTTGGAACCATTATCAATGCTCATGGAATTAACTATCAAGATAGCGAAGGACACACAGCTTTGGGTAAACCTGCTACCCAAGACTTCTTTAGAGCATTGAAAAGTAAGGGTGCTGCTTTGAGGACGAAGGTGCGCCCGACCCAAGCCGTGGTAATATCAGTCTCCTCAAACGCATGTGAAGGTTGGACACTGAATCAGGAAGACCGGAGAAGAAGCAATGCATTGGAATGATGGTCCTGGCAAAGTACCAGGGACTGCCAAAAGAACAAACAAATCTGTCTCGGAGGAAGTAGAGTCCAAATGCTCCTTAGAGGCAAGGAAGGAAAGACGTCATCTCACGTGCTTAGGACACGTTGCGGAGAGACCAGTCCTGGAAAAGGACGGCATGCTTGGTAATGTGGAGGGGCAATGAAAAAGAGGAAGACCCTGGACAAGAGGGGTGGACGCAGTGGCTGCGTCAATGGGCTCAAACGTAAGAACAACTGTGAGGATGGCACGGGACCGGACGGTGTTTCCTTCTGTTGTACAGAGGGTGACTGCAAGTCAGAACCAACTGAAGGGCATCTAGCCGCAAAGACAACCCTGGCTGGTCACCTGTCCCTTTACGAGGGAAGCAGGGGGAGGGTAGACAGATAGGGAAGAGGAAGAAGCAATGAAGATGGAGACAGCAATTTGCATGGTACAGCCACGAGTGAAGGAGTGCCTGGGGCCACGAGACGAGGGGAGAGGCAAGAAATGGCGTGGGAACAACTGAGACCTTGATTTGGGCAGAGTGATACTGAGGTCAGACTTCCAGCCTCCCAAACAGTGAGAGAATGCATTTCTGTTTGAAGCTACCAGGTGCTACTACCAGGTGTTTGGGTGCTATCTTACAGCAGCCGTAGAACACTCATACATGGGGACTTTGGGGCCAGGACACACATCCTGTGACATCCACAGAGGGTGGAAGATGTCCTTGAACCTTCAAGGGTAGCACCCATGTTCATAGAGGATGGTAGTGTATCATAATAGGAAGTCTTATTGACTAGGAATGGGGAGCATGGTAAAGGGGTACCTTTGAAGTTGTCCAATTTCTCTTAGCCTTAGTTTACCAACCAGTAAAATGGGTGTTAAAGACACAATCATCGATCCAACCCTGCCTAGCTGCACCCATCTCTGATTCTGACACAAAAGGAAGGCAAAGGCCAGGAGAGGCTGACCAGTGCCTGGCTGAGCAACCCCATTGGACATCTGTGGCTAGCCAAGGAGTCGTCATGCAGAGGAAGCTCATCTCCTTGTAAATAAATGTAGGTGGCCTTTGCCAAAGTAGAGGAAGGATGCCATGCATAAATGATCACTCATAAATGTGGTTACAGGAGAGTCTCTTCCACAGCATCTGGGTTGGCATTTCCTGAATATTCCTGACCATGTGAATAAACTAGATCTGTACCCACTATGTCAAATGTCACATATTCTCTCAAAGCTTGTTGAATGAGTCCCATGACCTTGTCCAGCTCCAGTCGCCATAGCTGACCACGGATTCTCATGGCTAAGTCAGTTAAGTATCAGGTGAGCGCTATCTTCCCTCATGCAAGGGAAGCTCATGGGAGGAGTGACTGCCTGGAATCACAGCACCATGGACTTCTTGCGTTGGAAAGACCTCAGAGCCCCAGTGTGGCCCAGTTAAAGTTCTTGGAATGCTAACTGAAAGGCAGGGGTTGCAAGCCCACCCAGAGGTCCCTGAGAAGAAAGGCCTAGCGATCTACCTTTTAAAAAGCAGAGATTGAAAACCCTATCAGGCTCACTTTTACCTTGACACTCATGAGATCACTCAGAGGCAATGGAAGCATTGGGGTGAGGATGGGCAATCTCAGCATGTAGTGATTCGAAGCTCAAATTTGGGGATCATACAGCCTGGACTCAGCACAGGTAAGACATCATCGCTATAACTTTGACCAAGTTACTCCCTTCCCCAAATCCATTTCCATCAGAGGCGCCATGGGGATGGCCCTCAAATCATGATCACATGGTCACACTGAGATGTTCCATCTGGTGACCAGATGCCACTTTGTTCATTGGATATTGAGTTAGTTAAAAGTTTATTGTGCCAACCTGACTGATAAATACATGTGGGGTCAATTAAAGGGTGGAGAGATAAATGGCTCAGTGAGCCTTGCCTTTCCAATTCTTGGGTCTCTTGCTTTCTGATGTTCGGACCAGGGTGCAATTGCCTGAGCCAGTTCCCTGCTTTAACTTGCAAGGCTCACTTCCTGCAAGACATCCCTGAGGAGAACCCACATGGACTTACCCTGATGCAACCCTGGGTGCTGGAGCAGCCATGTGGAGACTCCTGCCAGTACTGAGATGCTTACACATTCACTGACTCGGCTTTCCTCCTGCAGTTGGCATCATTGTGTGTGTTTTGTGAGAGGGAGGAGGACTTTGTGGATTGGTGTCGGACATACGGGTTAATGTTGGACTTGTGGGCTTGGGCAGCACTGGGTTGGAATGTTTTCTTGATGTGCACTTAACCTTTATATAAAGCTCTCTCTTATACATATGAGTTTCTGTGGATTTGTTTCTCTAAAGTACCCAGACTAACACAGATTATCTACACTCAATATTGTATGAGTGTGGTCCTCATACCCTCTCCCTCCTATTCCTCTCCCACCCTAACTACACCATCCCCAGGGAAGGCCCTGCTCACCGAGGGGTTGACCAGACTCTCCCGGTTATGAATAGTGCCCCATGTGGCAACTCCAATGGTGATGACATCGCTTTCCTTGTAGCTGCTGCTTAGACTGAAGTCTCTTACTGCTTCGCCCACCTGCTTCATCACCCCAGCATGGGATCCCCCAGTTATGATCCAGGCCCCTGGAGAAAAGCAACAGTGGAGTCAGAGGGCCTGCAGATGCACAGAGGCAGCTGCCAGGCAACGTGCAGAACCCGCCCCCAGCCCCACCTATGGTCAATGATACATGCTCCCTGATGTTGGCAGAGTCTTCGTTCAAGGAGGTCTCAGACACATGAGTAGGTGCAATTCCCGGGGGTTAAAGAGGAAGATGTGAAGAGTGTTAGCTTTATGTAGGCTGCGGATCAGCAAGCTGTGGGAAAATGGTCTTACATGTTGCGTAGTGGGAAGAGAGAGGACAGGCACAGGGACCGATCTTCTGACCGGGCCTCATGACCTCTTCTCGCCGGCTTGCTACCTCCTCTCTGTCTCAATCTGTGGGACCTTCTCTGACAAACACTTCCACTTCAACTTTTTCTACTTGTAATCCTCTACTTCTACTTATTTTTCTACTTCTGATTCCACTTATTTATGTCTTCTACTTTTATTTCTCTACTTCTTCTACTTCCACTTCTACTTCTTCCACTCCCACTTCTTCTATTTTTACTTCTTTTACTTCTCTTTTGTGATAGTTACATGATCTGATGTCAACTTGAGAGTATTAAGAGTGAAGGGGTGGAGTCTAGCTGTCAGTCAGCAAACAGATTGATGACCTCATTCAGAGGCACGATGAAGATAGCTCACTGGAGGACAGACACTCTGTCTCTGCTTCATCTCCCTGTGAAACATTCCTGTTGACAAGCCACATGGAGACACACCGATGGTGCCTGGAGCTGGAGAAGCCACAAGGGGGACCCACGCCAGTGCTGAGATCCTTCCACCGCCACTGGATCTACAAGAGTTTCCACCCACTGACCTGTGCTCTTCCTGCATTCAGTGTCATTGCATGTGTTGTGTGAATCTGAAGAGGGCTTTATAAACTGGTATTGGACATATGGGCTAATACTGGACTTATGAACTTGATCTGAACTGGGCTAGGATGTTTTCTTAATATACTAGTACTCTTTGATATAAAATTCTCTCTTACACATATATTAGTATCAATGAATTTGTTTCTATAGTCTACCAGGGCTAACCCACACTTCTATTTCAACTCTACTTCTACTTCTATGTCTTCTACAACTTACATTCTTCTGCTTTTACTTGTATTTCTGCTCTTTTTATTTCTACTTTTCTTCTGTGTCTACATCTACTTCAACTTCTTCATCTTTTTCTACTTTTTCCACTTCCAATTCTATGTCTACATTTTCTACGTCTACCTCATTCTCTTTCTATTTCTACTCTGTTTCTACTCCTAGTTCTAGTTTTCAATTTCCACTTCTACTTCTCAACTTCTTCTACTTCTACCTTTTCCACTTCCACTTCTTCTATGTCCACTTCTACTTTTACTTCTATTTCTACTTTTCTGCTTCTACTTCTTCTTCTTCTGTTTCTACTTCTTCCACGCCTATGCCTTCTAATCTACTCCTACTTCTACATTGACTTATTTTATTTCTGCTTTGACTTCTTTTTTTCCCCACCCCTATTCTACTTCTTCCACTTGTACTGATTCTTCTTCTTAGAAAATTTTCTTTTCTTCTTCCCAGCTCTTAAGACTCCTGTGTGATAGGCTGTATCCCTGCCACCCCAAAACCTGGGTGCATGCTCTGGCCAACACCAATCAGGTGAGTAGAATTAACACCAGCAGAACATAGTGAGTTCACATTGGAATGTTTTTCTCCACTCCCTCTGCCACAGGAACAATAGGTATTAAGTAATATTTGTCCATGACTGGGGGATGTAGCTGCAGCCCTGACCCACAGTCATTATCTTGCACCATGAGCACAAAGAAATGCTGTCACTTTGGACTCTGGGTTACCACAGTTACAATGCTGACCAATAGGACAGACAATTGCACCTAGAAGCATGGTTGTGGCACTGGCTTGAATTTTCCAAATCTAAAACATGTGACACTAGCTTTGCACCAGGCAGTGGCCAGGAAGGACATAGACAGTGAAAGCCAACATGATATCATGACAAGCCACATGGTGACGCTGGCACCTTGATTACCTGGGAGGTGGTGAGCACTAAATGGACCCTACTGTACTTGAGTTATGGTGAGCTGCCTTTGACCACGCCTGACCCAAGCAGGCTGGGGAAACACTTGGTGGTTTACGTGCTAGGATGGAGGAAAAGGGATAAGCAGGAAGTCTGGCTTCCAATGTGGAAAGCACGCTTGCTGCTCCTTGTCCGCTGGGAAATGATAAAACCGAGAAAGGCCCATGAAGGCTCAGATTGAGACTGATTCAGGGCAAAAACCTAGGAATCCCCTATTAGAACAAACAGTTCATGTGTCTGGTTGCTAATGGAAAGGCTGGCAGTTTGAGTTCACCCAGAGGCATCCCATACAAAAGAAAAGAAAGGGGGAAAGATGGAAAACCCTGTGGAACACAGTTCTCCTTACACACACGGGATCCCCATGAGTTGGGGGTTGACGCAATGGCAGCTGGCTTAGGGCAGAGGCCGAGACAAAGGTGGGCGTCGCATTTTCTGTGAAAACCAAACCTTTAGGTATGCTTTATGACTCTTCTTTCATCTGGACTCAAAGCATGACTTATCTTGGTGTGACCCACCTCAGATACATGGACATTCTTTGTAGGATTAAGATCATCAATTTGAGGATGTGAGGGCCATCTGGCTGTGACCAACATCTATCACCGCACTGGTCGCCAGGGTTGATTTGGCTGATCTGGCTGGCTGGGCAGGTGTCTCCTTCCTCCCTCACTGTTCCATGTGCGTCCCTCCCAAAGCTGCATGCTCGGTTGCAGAGGATGACCTTCCCCGATAGAAGGAGGACAGTCCTTCAAGGGTATATGAGTAGCTGTGCTCCCCGACTGGAACCTCCAAACAAGTTTCAAGGTCGTCATTTTAAGAGACCCTCAGGTATCCAAGGTCAGTAGCTCAGTGCCCTGTAACAGTCTGGGTTCTAAAAAGCAGGAGATAGAATTCTCCGCCTCTATGCGGTCTTCCTAATAGTGTGACATTGGGAAATTAGTCAATGAGGTGATGTAAAGATGGAAATAATACGCCCACCTCTCTGAAGCTGACAGAAAAGTTGATAGGTGATAGGAACGAAAGGTGAGATTTGGTTCTCAGAAACTCTCATTAGAACCCAACCTACACTGTCCCTCTTGGAGCGCCTTTGCCCACACCAGCCCATAAACTTGTCCCTCAGGTAATTCACGGAGCCATTTCTGACCCATGAGTGAACCAGGAGGCAGCAGCAGGATGTCAAGGGAAAAGCTGAGCATTGGGTGGGTCTGGCCAGTTCTTCTCAGCCCAGGCAGAGTATCACGATCTGCAGCAGTAGGGGGTTAGGAGTTGAATTATGTCCCCTAAACTATCTGTCCTAGTCTTAGCCCTGATGCCTGGGGATGTGACCTGGTTTGGTGATAAGGTCTTTGAGGATAGAATTAGTTAACATGAGGTCGTGCTAATGCAGGGTGAGTTCCAATCATTAAGAGAAGAAACGCAGACATACACACAGAGAGAAAGCAGCCCTGTGACGGTGGAGTAGACACTGGAATTCAGGGGACACCTGGTGCACCAGAAGCTCCAACACCCTGAGTTCAGACCTATGGCGTCAAGAACTGTGAGAGAATAAATGTCTGTTGTTGTAAGCCCCTGGGGTGCAATGCTTTGCTATAACAGCACAGGACATTCACATGGCCTTTCTGAGCCGAGGGCCATCACTGGGTCTTGGAGGTGTGCCCTCACCTGGAGCTCTTTGCTCCCCCCAACCCATACCCCACCGCCTTGCTTTCCAGCCACCCCTCAAACAGGAGGTGGGTGCCGATGGCCTCATATCCATCCCACGCTCTCACCTGTAGTCTGGGCCACCTTGACCAGGCCTCTTCGGAAGATGTTCTTTAACCTCAGCTTCATCTTGAAATCCTTGGCCCCACCGGTCACCGAGATTAAGAGGTTGGGATCATCCAGGCCCCAGTGCTGGGTCATGAGATCATAGATGACGCTGGAGGGTGTGTCCTGGGAGACTCGGACATACTGCAGAGAAAGGAGAAGGGGAGGAGACCCTGTATCAGCGGGCAACAGCCGTCCACACTCAACACATGTCTAACGACCCACAGCCCACCCCAGCCTGCCCACCCCAACCTTCCTGCCCCAGCCTTCCCCTCCCAGCCTGCCATGGTGCTGCTGTAGATGTTCATGAGGCTTCCCTCACCATCCTGGGCTGCCATGGGACCACCAGGGCCGTCAGCGCTGGGCTCAAGCTCATAATGAAGAGCACCAGAGCAAGAGAGACCCACCTTTCTCACTTTCTGGCCCAAGCACGTGAAAACGATGTCACCAAAGGCATCCGTGGGCATCTCCTGGACATGCTCTTTGGGGTCCCACTCCTTGTCCTGGAACACGTGGGATTTGGCGGCCTCCACGTGCTGCTCCTCGGTGTAGCCACACGCACACACCACCTTCCTGTGAAGATACTGCACAGGTCAGCTCACCTACCTACCCACCTGCGGGGCCCAGACTGAGGGCTAGAGCCCTAGAGATAGAAACCCCAAGTTGGAAAGCCCCTGCATCTTCCATAGCCCTCCAGTTGGGACAGATGGGAGATGTTTTAGAGTCAGGTTGTTATTCCCAGATGAAAACTTACACCAAGGTAAACAGGTAAGTGGGCTGTCACAACTTTAACTGTCTATAGCTCCCACCTATTTTGGGTAACTTCCACTGGGTAAAAGATGACACAGGCAGGCATGAAACACAAACCCCACTGAGCGCCCTCAGCTAGCATAGAAAGATCTAGAAAGAGGGCAAGGTTTCCTTGAAGGGAAGTGCTTCCACTGAACACGTCCATTCTCTTTTGCTGGGCCTTGATTTCCTCATCTATGATTTGGGGGTGGGGTTAGAGAATAAGACTTCCAGGAGTCTCTTCAACTCTTCAAAGCCCGTCCTTTCATCCACAAGGCACAGGCTACAAGATAACAGCAAATGTGTCCACAGTTCCCACTGTGAGCCAGGCACTCTGCTCCAGACAGTTCCCTGTTTACCACCTGGGCTTCCCACCAGTCCTCTGAAGCAGGCAGTGTCACCATTAGCCATTTTACAGAGGAGAAACCAAGCACAGGGCTGTTCTCTACTTTGCCCGATGTCATCAGAAAACACAGAGAAGAGTTTCTGGGATTCATGGCCAGAATGCCTGGACCCAAAATCCATGCTGCATTCCCTCCCTAGGAGCTGTACAAACATCTTCCAGCAAACAGGTTCACCATTAAGGCCAATGGTCACCAGGCATCTTGAATAAGAAAAATCTCAATATGAGTTCAGTTTCCCCAGTGGGGCTGGAGCACCCTTATGCAGGAGGAGCAAGGGGCATGCCTGGTGCATACTCCGTTGGTCTCATAGCTGACCTCATGCAATCTCGAGCATGTAGGTGCCGCTGCCTCCTCCACTTAGCAATCAGGTGACTAAGCCTAACAGAGGCCAATAGCTGCCCATGTCTCACAACTCTGCAAGTCCATTACCTCTGGATCGGCCTGGCCTCAAACCACTGCCCACTGCCTGGCACTGCCTCCCCAACATGAAACATTCCCTGCAAGGGACACACTGGGAGCTGCATCCCTACAATGCAGATGTGCAGGACAGCACCAGGTGCGTTTGCTGAGGGGATGCTGAGGGCATAAAATAATGCCCTCTTCCATCAACTGATGCAACAACTATGTTCGGCTGAGATTTGTTTTTTAAGTTGGGCGGTGGGGGGGGGGAGTGCATGGAGCAGGGCAGGAGGGGAGGGCAAGCCACTTGGAAGGTTTGATAAGTTGTTTAAGTGGTTGAATGTAAAAATGAAGGACTGATCTGATCTGTAAACTCCCACCTAATTCACTATAAAAAGTTAACATTTTAGAAAGGGCATCAGTGAAGTTCCGCCCCTGTCCTCAAGCTCTCGGGCTAACCAAGCAGCTTCCAGCCCAGTGTCTCTGAAAAGTAAATCCCGAGGAGAGAGCAGCCTGCCCGACACTGAGTAGAAATGCATGGTGAAGATGCAGACTAGTAGTCGTCTTATATTCCATCTTCTCACTCTAGAAGAGGGATGTGCCCTTTAAAAAATAATTTTAAGTTTTACCAAACCAATACAGGGATATCGTTTAAAAAAGCCAACTTGCACTAAAATGCTGATGGGACAAGAACGTGCATGTCCATTGTCAAAGTCCCAGAAGGAGGTATAAAAAGCTGGACAGGGATTCAAAGAATAATGATGGAATGTCCTCAAATTTGAAAAAAGGGCATAAGCCTACAGATTCAAAACTCTGATGGAACATCAAATAAGACAAACCCAAAGAAACGCCTGGTGAAACGCACCACAGTAACACTTCTGAAAACTAAAGGTAAAGGGAAAAAATCTCGAAAGCAATGAAAAAGAAATGGCACTTTCAGATAAGCCTTGGTTAGAAATAAACCGCTCTCTCTCCTGCCCTCCTCTCCTCCCGCATCCCCACGTGGACCACCAGAAAGAGCTGAGGAAGTAGGTCAGGAGGTCCATGAACCAGATGCAAGATCCAGACCTGGCAGAAGAGGTACTGAGGTACTTCGGCCTCACAACTACTAAGGTATTTCTATGGTTATTAGAAAGAAGAAACCATCAAATGACTAATTTGGGAACCTCATTTGGCAAGGAAGTGTAACTGGCCTCTAGGAGCTAAGGGCGGTCTCCGGCCAACAGCCAGCAAGAAATTGATGACCTCTGCCCTACAGTAACAAAGAAGGGCACTCTCTCACCACCTGAGTAAACTTGGAAGTGGATCCCTTCACACGTGAGTTTCAAATGATATCAGAGCCCCGGGTGACACTTGCAACTGAAGCTTTGCCATCACTGCTTTGTGGAGCCAGCTAAAACATGGCCAGACTCCAATCCCATAGAAATCGGAGACAATACATGTAAGTCGTTTAAGCTGCTAAGTCTGTGGCAATGTTGTACAGACAGATGATTCAGACACATGGGAGTACTTGGACGTGCGGCGCTTCTGTGTATTCTACCGGGCAATGTGCAAGTGGGTTTGCCGTTGGCACTGGCCTGGGCAGAAGCTGGGAAAATTGTCTGAGGAGCGCGATCGGGAACTTCTCAGCTGACTGACATGGATTCTTACTAGATTCCTGGGTTTTAAGGATGCTGCAAGTGGTGGTAGCTGAAATATTATTTTCTCATCTCTTCTTTGACCCCCGCCCTATTTAGAATTATGTGGTTTGAGGTATACATATTTGGAAGTTTTCACTTATCTTTTTTTGTTATTTGTACTTAATTTATTTATTTGCTCTTAAGGCCAATGTATGGAATATATCCTATGAAATTCAAATTCTTTTACATGTCAAAATCTAAATGTATGGGCTATCTTATTGAATCCCTTCTCTTTTCTTGGGGAAAAATGTATATTCTGTTGATCTCATGTCAACTAAATAAAATCTTTAAGAATTTCCCATCTAGTTCTATCATTCCTAAGAATGGAGTGTTAAATTTATCTATTTGCCCTTTACTTTTGAATTCCTTTTATAATTGTATATACATTTAGGATTATTGTATTTTCTCTTTACATTAACCCTTTCATTTTAATGCAGTGTGTTTTTAATCTCTAGTAGAATGATTTACCTTAGAGTGTAATATGTTTAGATAAATATAGTCACTTTAACATAGAAAAAAAAAGAAACAGCACTTTAGTGAAAGGGTTAAAGTTTGAACAACAGCGGGTTGCTCACCAGGAGACGTAAGGCCAGAGAGAAAAGGCACAATGCTTTTTGAATGCTGAAAGAAAAAACAACCTACCCAGAATTTTATAGCCAGCCGAAATATTCTTCAGGAATAACGGAGAAATCATGACCTTCTCTGATGAGGGAAAACTATGGAATCTGACCCCAGCTGATCTACCCTAGGAGAACGTCGAATGGAAATTCTCTAGTCAAACATGAGAGGAACGCTGGTGGCACACACAATTAAGCACCCTGCGGCTAACTGAAAATGTTGTGTTGCAGAGAGACCCTGAAGTTCCGAGGGAGAGACAAGATGAGGTCTGCTTTCACAAAGACGACAGCACTGGAAAACGTGTGGGAGCATTCTCCTCTGCCACGGGAACATTATATTCACTACGCTCCATCGAGTCATGGCTGACCCACAAAGACCCTGTGCACAACAGAATGAAACACTGCCCGGCCCGGCACCATCCTCACAGTCACTCCTATTGTGTCAATCCATGTCCTCAAACCCACTGGCGCCACTAGACTACGATAAGTTGTGTTGTGTGTATTAAATGTAATGCCCACAGCAACTCCTAAAAGAAACTATACAAAGAGCTACATGCAAAACCACTACAGATAAATCAAAAGGGGGTTCTAAAAACATTCAGACCATCCACCCGAAGGCAGGAAAGATAAAAACAGAAAGAAAAAAAAAACATTTAAAAAGCAGACTTAAGCCTTAACATGTGAATAATTACACTAGGCATAAAATGTCCTGAATATACCATTAATGACAAGTATCAGCAAAGTATTTTAAAATATGGCTCAATTATTTCTTGTCTATCAAAAGCTCACTTCAAATATGGTTATATAAAGAACAAATTAGTGGTTGACAAACATTAAAGATCGTGAGGAAAAGGGATGGATTTGTCTGCAAAGAGGGAAATCTCTGAGTGATGGAGCAGTTTCATGTACTGATGGCCATGGTAGTGCTCAAATCTACACAAGTGAAAAACAAATAAATGAAATGAAACAAAAAGCAAATCTACACAAGTGATGAAATGACACAGGAAGAAGTAAAACCGTTACACTCTTCAAAGAAAACAAAGGGATACATCTCCAGAGCTTACTGTTTTTGCTAAAGATTCTCAGATATGGCACCAAACGCAAAAACAATGAGAGTAAAGAAAAACAGATTTTACCAAAATTTAAAAATATTTGTGAAAGAAAAGATTTTATCAAGAAAGTAAAGAGACAGCCTATAAAATGGGAGAAAATATTTGGAACCATCGATCTAACAAGGTCTTGATTTCCAGGATTTATTAAGCACTTCTAGGATTCAACAGCAAAAAAGAAAAATCCATTTTTTAAAATAGGCAAAGGGTTTCAATGAATAGAAATTTCTTCCAAGAAACTGTGTCACGGACAAAGATCATACAAAAAGCACTCAGCACCCGTAGTCACTGTGGCTGTCTCGTGTCATCCGTCTCCAGAGACTCCAGGTGAACCGAGTGAAATGCTGCCTGGGTCTGCGTCAGCCTGTCTTTCCTGCGCTTCGGCCCATCGTTGCAGTCACTGTCTCCGCCATCCACAGGGGGTCCTTTTCTTCATCGATACCCCCGTGTTACTCAACATGATGTCCACCGCTGGGGACTGGTCCCTCCTGACAACATGAACAAAATCCCGAAGAGGAAGGGATTTTGTTAGCTAAGGAGCATGTTAGCTGTCCTTCTTCCAACACAGATGAGTTT